TTGGCAAGGAGAGTATAATCTAGGTTACATTGTCAATTTTCTCAGTTTTGGAAGAAGGAAAATCCTGTAAAGTATTTATGACATAACTGGGTAAATATAAAATAATGAAACAAGTTAGACTGTCTGAGCAAACACTTAGTGGGAGTATTTCCCTCTGTCTGCACAGTTACCTAACCAGTAAAATGTATTCACATCACAAAGGAAATCATCTGCTTTTTTAGCCCCGGCTCTCCTGTGCCGATACGGTTTAGCAGCCCACAACTATAATGTAGGTCAGCTTATGTAATGACATTGTACAACGCGGCAAGTCTTAATCCAATGTGAGACAATATTTCATAAACTAGCATGATTTTCTTCCAGTCTGTTCAAGGGTTATCCTTTCTTATCCCCAAACAAATCCCACAATGGTTACACAACAGAACGTTCTACGGTCACCTGAGAAAGCAGTAAACTGAGTAAAGGCTAAAATGGAATATGTAACTGTGGCTATGCTTGTCTTCCATCAGAAATATCAGCTGTAAATATATCTTCACTTCGTGAAGGAAACATAAGTACACATTACAACAAATGAATAATAAGGAGAATAAACACCAAGATGTGACATTTGGTTTAAAAAGGAACTTCTGTCCCTGTAATACTGACCCCACCCTCCCCTCTCCAGCACCGCCATATTTGAAAATTCAGCACATGCATAGATGTGTTGAAGGGCCCTGTCCAGCCTTTGGGCCCTGAAAGAGACCTACGGCACATCTGCACTATTTCCCTATGCATGGGTACTGGGATTTAAAAATCCCATTGCAGATGACCTATGCATGTGCAGACAACCTCAGAAGTCTTTAGGTGTTTTTTATACTGGACATTTACTGCACATTAATGTATAATGCACAGTGGATTAAAAATCCCATTACACCTCAGTCTTTGCACTTCAGGCTTCTGGTGATCTGAGGAGCTATGTAATCTGACCAAGGTACCCCCATACCAGTGAGGAGCAGTGGAATAACGACCTTACAGGATGTCTTTCGTATTGGGATATTGGATTTACAAGCCTGGAACTCTCAATGACTATATCGGACACTGTTTAATTTTGGGTTTTTTTTCTTCTAATGCACTTTCCATGGCAAATGATTGGGCAAATATTGACATTGTTTTAATTGATAAATGTAAGGTTATGCACTTGGGGGCTAAGAATATGCATGCATCATACTAGGGGGAGTACAACTGGGGGAATCAATGGTGGAGAAGGATCTGGGAGTTCTGGTAGATCACAAGCTTAATAATGGCATGCAATGCCAAGCTACGGTTTCTAAAGCGAGCAAAATCCTCTCTTGTATTAAAAAGAGGTATAGACTCCAGAGAGAGAGAGAGAGATATCATGTTACCCCGGTACAAATCATTAGTAAGACCTCATCTGGAATATGCAGTTCAGTTTTGGGCACCAATTCACAAAAAGAACATTGGGGAACTGGAGAAAGTACAGAGAAGGGCAACCAAACTGATAAGAGGCATGGAGGAGATTTTTTTTATTTTAGGTACATAGCCTGCTGTTATAGTGTTAGTCTACAAGACATTATGCAATGGCGCATACTTGGAAAAATCCAGAGCAAGCAACATCGTAGAGACCAATTTTATTACTTAATAACAATTAGGTTTAGTGTTCATCAGCAATTAAATTACTAATTATAATATTAGAAATCAGAATACACACTTTCTCACTTTTCCTTTCAGCCCCAGGCTGAAGTAGGCTACTATGGTTAAAAAAAAAAAATCACAAAGCCCCCTCAAAAATCCTTTTAGATTTTAAATGTGGAAAAAGCACTGGATAGACTACAGTAGAGCTGCCCATTCTTGAAGTGTGTGCATAGCCAGTGTACATATAGGTGGTTTTATTTACCATTTTTAAATTAGAGGTAGCTTTCTACCCCTAGCTGAAACATGAGCATCTGTAGGGATCAACACAAAATAAAAATAAATGTTCCATAGTGTAATCAAGTTTATTAAAAAAGCATACAAAATAGAAAATAGATTTTACAAGTACATACAAGCTTAAGAACGCTGTGTACAGAAAAGCGGATATCCTCCGCACCAACAAGTCGGCCCAGTTTGCCCAGTTTTTTTATGGCAGCATGGGAGGGTGAATTTATTTTTAAACTTGCCAGTAAAATTACATTTCGGAGATGCTATATAGATTGTTATTTTTATTTGGGGTGGAGAAGAAAACACCCTGAAATTATTCTTAGAACACATTAATGCTAATGGTAAGGGTAGTAGATTATTTAATCCTAGTTAAAAATTCCATTTCCCTTTTTTGGTTCTTATCTTTGTAGATTTAAATAAATATATATTTACCTATTTCAAGTATACCGTACATATACTACATTCCTTTAGGTAGTGATGATCATCCTATGTGGATCAGGAATGTCTCTAGAGCACAGGTGTCAACAACAAGGCCTGCAGGCCGACTCCGGCCCTCCAGGCTATTTCATGTGGCCCTTGCACCTCTCCTGCAGGTACCCCCTACACTCCTCCTTTGGTCTTGCTCTAGATCCTGCACTTTCTGCTTTCCAGCTCTGCCCTCAAAAGGGGTGCACGTTGATGTTAGGGAGGGTATGGGATTTTTGACATCTGAAGTAAAGGGGGGTGGGGTACTCTGGACATCTAGTCTTACAGATACAACCAGCCCTTTTGAGGGCAACCATAATGCTGATATGGCCCGTGATGAAATGGAGTTTGATACCCCTAATCTAGAGGTTGGTTCATAAGGGTCTAGAGCAGGGGTGTGAAACTCAATTTCATGGCGGGCTGCATCAACATTATGGTTGCCCTCAAAAGTTGTATCTGTAAGACTAGATGTCCAGAGCAGCCCACCCTCCCTTACATCACAGTGCACCCCCTTACCTTGTGCTGCTGGAGGCAGAGCTGGGAAGCAGAAAGGGCAGGGTCTGGAGGAGGACCAAAGGAGGTGCTGGAGTCAGCTGCTGAAGTCTGCAGGGGAGGTGGAGAAAAGGGAGGTGCTGCGGCTGTACAGAGACATGCAGGATCTGTAGGAGGAGTTCTGTCCTTCTCTCTGCTGCCAATTGCTGAGACCAAGGGTGGGGATTTGCAAAAATGAGCCTCTCTGTGGCTGCATGGAGAAAAGCAGGATCTTGCGGAGATGATCTGCCCTCCTTTCTTCTGTTGACTGCTGAGATGAGGGAGTGTGACAGCTGCAGAAGAGGTCTGAGGGCCACATGAAATGGCCTGGAGGGTTGGATCTGGCCATCAGGCCTTGTGTTTGACACCTGTGGTCTAGAGGAATTGCAACTCTCTAAATCAGCCTTCCTCAACCTTTTCAACACAGAGGAATCCTTAAAATAACTTTCTCAGGGAACCTGTCAGGAATGGACTTGCCAGTAATGGTGGGACTCACCTGCCTTGTGGGCTGCAGTACCAGGGCTGGCCAGCGGGTGCTCTCAGCAATCAGAGACTCAACCCTGTAGTCAGCCAAACACCTGAAGCTGATTATGCAGGTGTATTTAAGGGATGGCCAGACCTGCAGTCTGTGCCTTGGTGTGTGCTTTTCTATGGGCCCCTGTATCTTGTTACCTGCATCCCTGTTCTTGTTCCTGTCTGACTGATTCGTTGCTGACCCTGCCTGATCCGGACCTCTGCTGACTTCTCCTGTTTGATCCCTGGCTTGTGACCCCGACCACTCTCTGCCTGACCCCCTGTACCTACCTGCCCGTTAGTTGCTGTACCCGGCTCGTGACCTGACTACTCTCTGCCTGCTCCTCCTGTTCCTACCTGCCCGATTGTTATTGACCCGGCCTGCCTGACGACGCTTGCATTGTATGTATTGTTATCTGTGGGTGGTTTGGTTTGGTTTGTTTGCACTGTGTTATGTTTTAGTATTGCACTGCGTTTATGTATTGTTAGTGTTAATAAATTATATTGTTTATAACATATCTGAAGCCTGCGTTTCCCTGCGTCAGTTCACATACCTCTGGTCATACCCTGGAGCCCTGACATTACACCAAGGCCAATCCTGACCAGAAGTGGCTGCACAGGGAAGCCATCTTGGCTTATTGTTGCTGGGAAGGATGGATCTGGATGAGGTTGTGTATTTATCTCTGCTAGTGTTTGATGACAAAGACTATGCTTATCAGACTCTGAAGGAGTATCCCAGGGATCAACTACTAGAATGTATACGGATCGCTCATTGCCTAGTAGATCAGGGCACAGAATTCTCTGAGGTGCAGCCATTGATTCAGGTTTGTGCTGAGTTGGTTTCATCTGGTACCCCCAAATGCAGGGATGAATTTTTGCTGCCATTTAGTGCCGACCAGGTAGAGTCCCTGGTATGGTTATTAGAGGATGATGTGGATTACTTTCTGGAGCGTTATTCTGCATGTTCACCACAGGTACTAAGAGATTGTATAAACGCAGTGCAGTCTTTGACCAGACAGGCTTTGTGTAAGCGGAGCTTTGTTCAACCCATACTGCAGACATGGTCAGACTTGTTGCACCCAGCCTCAGTCAGCTTACAACATCATTCCTCCACTCAAGGCACTCTTCCTGCATCCCCGACAGCACCCCCAGTGACTGCCCAGTATACTCTAACTACCACATACCAGTCCTCTGCTCCCACTTGCTGCACCTATCCTTTCTTTAACCCTGTAAAGAAGTCCTCTGTAGCAACTGCTCCCTCCTCTGTTCCATCTTCCAGCTTTTCTCTGTCCTCAGCTGCTCCATTCGTTTGCAGACCTGCGTTTACTTGCAGTAGTTAAAACCAGAAAAAAGCGAAAATTCTTTCCAACCAGTACCATCCTGCCAGTATCCAAACCGGTGAGCCTGCCGTCTGAGAACCTGCCTTCTGAGGTTCAGCCTGGTGCCTCGGCACCCGCACTTCAGCCTGATGTCTCTACCCAGCCTGATGTCTCTACCCAGCCTGATGAACTGATCCAGCCTGATGATCCTATCACGCCTGATGACCCAGTGCCCGCTGTCATACCTGGTGACCCGATGCCCGCTGTCGAGCCAGACGATCCAATGCCTGATGACCCAGTGCCCGCTGTCATGCCTGGTGACCCAATGCCTGCTGTGGAGCCAGACGATCCAGTACCTGATGACCCGGTGCCCGCTGTCATACCTGGTGACCCGATGCCCGCTGTCGAGCCAGACGATCCAGTACCTGATGACCCGGTGCCCGCTGTCATGCCTGGTGACCCGATGCCTGCTGTCGAGCCAGACGATCCAATGCCTGATGACTCAGTGCCCGCTGTCATACCTGGTGACCCGATGCCCACTGTCGAGCCAGACGATCCAATGCCTGATGACCCAGTGCCCGCTGTCATACCTGGTAACCCGATGCCCGCTGTCGAGCCAGACGATCCAGCGCCAGATGACCCGTGTGCCCGCTGTCGATCCAGAGGATCCGGTACCTGATGACCCAGTGCCTGCTGTCATGCCTGGTGACCCGATGCCCGCTGTCGAGCCAGACGATCCAACGCCAGATGACACGGTGCCCGCTGTCGATCCAGACGATCCGGTACCTGATGACCCGATGCCCGCTGTCGAGCCAGATGATCCAATGTCTGACCCAGTGCCCGCGGTCATGCCTGGTGACTCGGAGCCCACTGTCGTGCCTGGTGACTCGGTGCCCACTGCCTTGCCAGATGACGCCCGGTGCCCGCTGGCGAGCCAAATGACCTGATGCCTGGTGACCCAGTGCCCGCTGTCATACCTGGTGACCCGATGCCTGCTGTCGAGCCAGACGATCCAACGCCAGATGACACGGTGTCCGCTGTCGATCCAGACGATCCGGTACCTGATGACCCGCTGTCGTGCCAATTGACTCAGAGCCCACTGTCGTGCCTGGTGACTCGGTGCCCACTGCCTTGCCAGATGATGCGGTGCCCGCTGTCAAGCCAAATGACCTGATGCCTGGTGACCCGATAGCCGCTGTCCAGCCAGACGATCCAATGTCTGACCCAGTGCCCGCGGTCATGCCAGTTGACTCGGAGCCCACTGTCGTGCCTGGTGACTCGGTGCCCACTGCCTTGCCAGATGACGTGGTGCCCACTGGCGAGCCAAATGACCTGATGCCTGGTGACCCGATGCCCGCTGTCGTGCCTGATGACCCGGTGCCTGTCGCCCCGCCTGGGGGCCCGGTGCCTGTCACCCCGCCTGGGGGCCCGGTGCCTGCCGCTGCCGCCCGCCTGGGGGCCCGCCGCCCCGCCTGGGGGCCCGCGCGCTCGCCGCCCCGCCTGGGGGCCCGGCGCCCGCCGCTCCTCCTGGGGGCCCTGTGCCTGCCGCTCCTCCTGGGGGCCCTGTGCCTCTGCCCGGAGTCCAGCCCGATGTGCCTCTGCCTGGAGTCCAGCCCGATGTGCCTCTGCCCGGAGTCCAGTCCGATGTGCCAGTCTTTGATATCCCGCCAGTTACCAGACCCGGGCGGTGGAACATTTTGCCCAGCTAGGACTGTTTGGAGCGTCCTGAGGCCGCTCCTTGAGGGGGGGGGGTACTGTCAGGAATGGACTTGCCAGTAATGGTGGGACTCACCTGCCTTGTGGGCTGCAGTACCAGGGTTGGCCAGCGGGTGCTCTCAGCAATCAGAGACTCAACCCTGTAGTCAGCCAAACACCTGAAGCTGATTACGGAGGTGTATTTAAGGGATGGCCAGACCTGCAGTCTGTGCCTTGGTGTGTGCTTTTCTATGGCCCCTGTATCTTGTTACCTGCATCCCTGTTCCTGGTCCTGTTCCTGTCTGACTGATTCGTTGCTGACCCTGCCTGATCTGGACCTCTGCTGACTTCTCCTGTTTGATCCCTGGCTTGTGACCCCGACCACTCTCTGCCTGACCCCCTGTACCTACCTGCCCGTTAGTTGCTGTACCCGGCTCGTGACCTGACTACTCTCTGCCTGCTCCTCCTGTTCCTACCTGCCCGATTGTTATTGACCCGGCCTGCCTGACGACGCTTGCATTGTATGTATTGTTATCTGTGGGTGGTTTGGTTTGGTTTGTTTGCACTGTGTTATGTTTTAGTATTGCACTGCGTTTATGTATTGTTAGTGTTAATAAATTATATTGTTTATAACATATCTGAAGCCTGCGTTTCCCTGCGTCAGTTCACATACCTCTGGTCATACCCTGGAGCCCTGACAGAACCTCTGCTAAAAATGACTATATCTACTACTCATGATACATTAGTGTGATGGTCAGTTGGAAGAATGTTCCTTACACTTGTGGTCATTGGGGAAAAATTACCCCCCTTACAGATAGCTGAAAAGATTAATTTTGTTAGTGGGAACTTATCAGAGAGGCAGAAATTGACATTTTTATAAAAAAAAAAACCCAGCCTGGCGTCCCCCCTAAAAGCCATACCAGGCCCTTTAGGCCTAGTAGGACTTTTAAGGGGAGCCCCACCTCCCAAAAATAGGGAGAAAAAAGTGTGTGGGGTTCCCCCTAAAAGTCCTACCAGTCACTTTAGGCCTGGTAGGACTTTTAAGGGAAACCCCACCTCCCATTGAGGGAGTGCGTGAGGTTTCCCCTCTGTCTTCAGCAGTGTCTAGCAACACACTGCATAAGGCTGCAGTGTAAGCAGCCTTACAGTGGGGAAAATAATTATTTGATCCCCTGCTTACAAACAAATGTAGGGTCTATTATTTTTATCATAGGTGTATTTTAAATGATAGAGACAGAATATCTACCAAAAATCCAGAAGAAACACATGATACAAATGTTATAAATTGAGTGCGTAAAATAAGTATTTGTTTCTGAGTATTTGGTTTTAATATGCTGTCTCTGTCATTTAAAATACACCTATGATAAAAATAATAGACCCTTCATTTCTTTCTAAGTGGGCAAACTTAGAAAATCTGCAGGGGATCAAATATTTATTTTACCCACTGTATATAGTGTAGGATGTGGACTTAGCCATGAGCCCTGATTGGCCAAAGTCACCGTGACGTTGGTCAATCATGGCTCTCACAGTGCATTGCTGTGATTGGCCAAAGCACCCCAGGTCAGGTGCATTACTTTGGCCAATCATGGCTCTCACAATGCACTGTGAGAGCGCAGTACATTGTGGAGCATGTCCAGTAAAAAAAAAAAAAAAAAAAAATCAAATTGTAATAAATTTAGGCCAAAATGTATTCTGCTACTTGTCTTTACCAAAAAAATTCCAATACGTGTAAGGCAATTGGTTTACATGAACATTATAGCGTCTTTTTTAAGGGGTAGCGCTACACAAATAACTCTATTCCTACAGTAAAGCATGGAGGTGGTATTATCCTGTTATGGGATTTTTTTTGCAGCAGGGACATGAGCATTTGTTAGAATAGAAGGAAGAATGGGCAAAATACCGTCAAATTGGTGAGGAAAATCTGCTGCCCTCTGCCAGAAAGTTGTCAATGGGAAGAATTTTTACATTCTAACATGACAATCACCGAAAGCACACAGCAAAAATGACCACATGGTGGTTGAAGGAGAAGAGGGTAAATGTCCTTTCATGGCTTAGTCAGAGCCCAGACTTAAACTCCATTGAAAATCTGTGGAATGACTTGAAGACTGCAGTCCACAAACAGTCACCATCAAATTTAACCGAACCAGGGCAGTTCTGCAAAGAAGAGCGGGCAAACATAAGTCTAGATGTTCAATGTTAGTAGAGACATAACCCAACAGACCAAAGGCTGGAATTGAAAAAAAAGGTGGTTCAACAAAATATTGACACAAGGGGGTGATCCTTTTTCCAACACCTTGATTCTGTTTTTGAATTTCAGAAATTTTTTTCTGACATGTTGGTGTTATAAATACAGCCTGATAAAACAAAAACTGTGTCTGTCTTCATTTCAGGCTGGAAAGCAACAAAATGTGATTTATTTTGAAGGGTGGTGAGTCCTTTCTATATCAACTGTATAAGACTGGATTTACGATACCAATATGTATATACCCTGTGAGCCAAAAATGCTATACCAGCCTTTCTCAACTTTTTTTTTTACCACCACCCTTGAAATTATTATCAAGACTTGGGGACCCTGAGCTAAAAATAATTAATCAGGGTAAGTGAGAAGAATAACCCTTACTTTGGTGGCCATTGGGAACAAAGGTCCTTACAGTGGTGGTCAGTGGGAAGAATGTTTTGTACCGTCGTGGTCAGTGGAAATAATGCCCCTTAGTGATCACAATGCCACTATTACAGACAGGTAAAAAGATCATTGGTGTCATGCTGTTGGCTCTGCCAAGAAGTGTTGGACCTGGGAATTATGCAGCAATCATCAGATGGGTGGTCAATCTGCCACAGCTGAAGAAACCCCTAGCAATCTTTGGAGGAACCCAAGGCTTCCAAGGCTGCTTTATGCCATATATAAATCTATTGGATTTGAGGGTTGACTGAACAGTAATGCCTCCACTTTCATGTTTCGTCAACCTATGGCAGTACTGCTATGCAACAAATACTGTCCCATTGTGTAGGATCTCCTCTGCCATCTCAGTTGTTGTCAGGTCATTACAATAAATGGTTTATTTGCTACTTTCTATGAAATGGAAATCCGTGTTGAACCCTCATCAGTGATTTAATCAACATGTTGTAATTGAGTTCCTGACTAGGTGTTGTTCCAATTAAAATTTACAGATGGATGTCAGCTGTTTATGGTGATAATTGTGGGATGTGAGCACAGGTGTCAAGGACAAGCCCTCTGGGAGTATATCATTACTTGGGAGGTACTGAGTGTTATAATTACAATTGCAATGCAAAAATATGAGGAGGACTTTATAGTGAGTTCTGGGTATAAGTGATGAAAAGAAGCAGGAGTACACTGCAGTTGTAGGCCAGTAAGGAGTGATCATATGGATTTCTCGCAAGGCCCATAGAGAATTAGTCCAAAGAATGTTGAAAATTTGGTAGCACATTTTTGTGTCCACACACGGGGTCTACAATGTAGGAGGAAGTTTAAGTTGGAACTAAGCTCTCTCAACCAACATGAACTATTTGAATCCTTCTGCTGCCAGCATTAGTAAATAGATAGGACGGTATAGTATATATATTTACTTTATTTTTCATTTCTTGAATTGCTTCCTGGTTTCTATCCTAGGCCAAAATGATCTCGTACATCCAAGAAGTCTTCATGGGCATTTTTTCTTTCATCTGGCGGGGAATGAGTGACTTTCTCAGCTAAGCACACCCTTCTTCTTGCATGTCTGAACCAGGGGCAGACTGACAACTCATGGGGCCCCCGGGCAATAGGGATCATGGGGCCGCTGTGTCCTCGCCCACACTCAAACCACACCCAAAAAAGCCTATGAAAGGTACCAGGGGCATTTCATGGGGCCCCCTACTGACCCTGGGCCCTCGGGCAGTGCCCGAGTACCCGAATGGTCGGTCCGCTCCTGGTCTGAGCTAAGGGCAGATGGATCACAGGAAGTAAGGTGCTACATGCCCTTTCTCAAGATGGCTACAGCTAAAAATGATAGGGGGGTTTCAAAGTGGATTCTCAACAAAATAAAACATGCAGACATGGATAAATGAGTTTGCTTTGAATGTTAAAAAATAATTAAATAGCATAAGTAGGGCTAATGGTCAGTATGTGGGTACAATTTAGACCATGGACCTTTAGTTTGGGGAAAGGGGTCCTGAATATGGCTGTAAGTCTTCAAGGGCAAGGTGTGCTAGATATAAGTGTAGATATTTGATATGCACAGGATTCATCTTGGATCGATTTAATCACCAACTCATGGGGCCCCCAGGCATAGGGGACCTTGTCCTTGCCCAAATCAAAAAAACCTATGAAAAAATTAGGGGCATCTCAGGGGGCCCCCTACTGACCCCAGGCCCTCAGCATGCCCAGTTTCCAAATGGTCAGTCCGCCCCTGGCTGCATCAGACACCCGCTGTCTTCTGATTTTGTTACACCATCAATTACAATATTTTGGACTTCAACTAAATCCTGAATTTGAACGCTACAAACAAAGAATTTGTAAAGTAATGGGAATATATTAATGAAACATCTGATAATATTCTGCTTGCAATCAATCATAAGAGTAGTTCACTCATTCACTTTTGTGGGTAGAACTACAGTGCGAGAATAAAAATTATTAAATGAGTTAAAGATCTAAAGGTCCTTTGTGATCTGCATTAGGGTTGCACCAAAATTCCGGTGGCCAAAACGTTTCGGCCGAAAACACCCCTTTCGGCTGTCGGCCGAAGTTAAAAAAAAAGCACCGATAGAGGTGCTGAAAAAAACCTCACCCCTCGCCACCGCCTGTTTGCCACTCAGTAGTTCAGCCTTACCTGAGAAACCATCAATCCTGGTGCTGGGC